CAGGCACTCAGGAAACCAATAGGGAAGATCCATAGATGATACATCTCAGAGGATTTGGATTCAAACGATTTTTCCATGGTCTGGGGTTCTGAGCTGCCGTTACATGTTGCAGCATGCGCTTGGCATTCAAGTGCTGCTAGGGCAGAGGCACTGGTTGCTTGCCAGATACCTGCATGCCTCCCCATCAGTCGCAGCTGCTCTGTAGTGTGTTCTGTCCAACCACTGGGACAGAAGTGAACTGTGTCACTTCCAGGCTATGCACAGGAGAGCACGTGTGTGTTCTCCACTCGTTCTGTTCCTCTACTGCCAGCCAGGATGACGGAGGCCCAGGACTCCAAATGTCAGAGCCTCTGTCAACCAGGGCTGTTGAGCAGGATTCCCTTGTGTCTACCTTCCACTCTACCACCAACCTGTATTGGTCCCATAATGAAAGCAAGAATAAATTTTCATTGTGTTGAGCCAGGATTCTGGGCTTAACTGGTTATTGCAGCATAGTCTAAGCGAATACAGCTGCTTTTCTAGATCTTTTTGTAAAAAAACAAAAATCCATCTGGGGAAGGGATGAATAATCTGAATGGTGCCATCCTTGAACCAGCCACGGAGGCTCTGCCAGTTTGCCTTTGCATCACGTGCCCCCAAACTTATTCCACTCGGTGGGTTGTCACTGTTCCTGCAGGGCGTGTTGAAGGAGGAAGTGAGGAAGAGCCCTGGCTGGTGATGGGGGGGGGGGGGGGGGGGGACAGTTCCCTTCTGATGGTTTCTCTTCTGATTCACCAACCTCCTCTTGGGATTTTAGGCTTGCTAAACATACGGTACAAATCAGTGAAATTATTCATTGTGGTTTTCATTTGAGTGAGCTAGTTTCCGCTCCTAAGAAGGGTCTTAACACAACAGGAAGTTTTTCTTGGATCTAGAAATGGAACTCTGCCTTCTGACATGAGTCTTTTACCAACTTCTGCAAATCTCAATTTTCCTACTTCCCTGTCAAGAGGGTGGGGCAAATGGAAGAGACGAGATGAAACCAGAAAATGCTGATCTGTATAGTAGTAGCGTTAGGGCTGGTAGGGTTTGGAGGGGAGAGGGGGAGAGAAAAATGGCAGCCTGACCAAACCAGACCACCTCCTCCCAACTGACCACTTTATCTCCTACCTCTTCCGCCACTTTGGTCTTGGCAAAGAGGTATGAAGAGAGAAGTGAAGGGTCAAGGAACATTATGATAGTTGGTAGTCACCCCTTGATAGTAACCTTTGACATGTGTGTCCCAGCTGACGTTCCCCGAAACATTGTGCTATGCCTCACCCATTGGATTCCGCTCCATGGGGGCAAGGGAACATGTCTCAATACCCACCATGTAGAGGGCACCCAAGAGTGCCTGGAGGAATACAGGAAGGAATACTTGATTCTCATGACTATCTTTATAACAGGGAGTGAGAAAATGAAATACAATTTCTATTTTATGTATGGAAAAATGGAAACATTAAGAATTTGTTACTTGCTCAGAGTCACACAGGGGTCAGTTAAGAGGTGGAACTAAAATCCAAGTCTCCCAGTTTCTATTTTCTTTCAACTGTTTAACCAGTTAAAAGTCCTTTCCCCACCCCACATAGTGATATAGACCATTTATCATCACTGCCATCGTGTAATGTAAATTATCGCCCCAAGATTCTATGTTATCTATGTCATTTGTATTAGGCAAGTCTATCAGGAAAGACATCAAAATCCTAACATCATTATCACTAGGGGATGGAGTCTTACTATGCTAATTCTTAAGTTCTTACTGATTTGTATTTTCTACTCTTTGCCCAAGAATAATAATAATATTATTATGTAAGAATAATAGCATTTATTACCTATGCTATCCAAAAATAATAGAGGAGGTAAAACTGTTTTCTCTATGTAGGGAATTCAGTGGGCTTCTAGCTCAGCACTTTGAATTATTAATCAAGTAGGTTTGGAGTGGAAAACCACAGGAAGGGAATCATGGCAGGAACTGCTAGTTGCCCTCCAGTCTGGACTTTTCTTATAATAGAGTTTCTAGCTGGACACAGTCACCAGTTTCCCATCCTCCCTTGCAACTAGATGTGGCCAAAGTTGGGAGTAGAAGTGATGTACACAGCATTCAGATTGTTGCCCTTCACCTTCTCCCTTTCTGCTGGAGTGTTGATGTGAGGGCTGGAGCTGGAGTAGCTATCTTGGACCATGAAATGGAAGCCATGTATTGAGGGTGGCAGCACAACGAGAGAAATGGGGCCCCTGACACTGCTGAACCGCTACTGTTTGGGCATCTCTGTTAGCTGTTGAACCCGTATCCTAAGTAATACAGATCTAAACATTTAGTAGAACAGTGCTCCGACTTCCTGATCCTGAAAACAAATGTGCTCTTTGGAAAGAACATACGATTGAGTTTGTCAAGCTTTCTTTTGTTTATGGGCACAAGGACCCGATTCTATCCTGGGGATCAAGAGAGTCCTTAATCCAGAACATGTTAGTTACATAATATGGATGATTAAGCAACTGCAGAAACTCATCTGGTATTTTCAGCAGATCATACATACTTGGGTTCCCACTTTCCAGTTCTTTCTGCCTGATATTAACCAATCCATCCCCCCTTTATTCCATACTCACCCCCCACCCTGCTCCAATTCAGAACTTGTGCACATGGTGCTGGGGATTTTGTGTAGGACGGCTGCTCACATGAGCCTGTTTGCCGTCTAACCTCTCAGGCAACATCGTGAATTCAAGGCCCCATCTGCCACTTAGTATACATTTAAATGAATTATTGAAAATTAATCATGTATTAACAAACAGGATAAGTTGAGTAAGGATAAACCATGGAGCAGCAACTTCTTAAAAGAAATTGAGCTTTTTTCGATGGCTCTTAGGAACACAAAACATGCTTACCTTCCAAGCTGAGTTGCTCACTCACCAGATTCCAGCCAGAGACTCTAGTTTGTGACTTTCCTGGGTCATCCTGAGCCCCTTTATTTATAATCTATAGCCAGAATGTCATAATTTAGAGAGGTTGGCAAAGCCTCCCAACCCAAGATAATTAGCAGCTCTGGTCTATTCATGTACATGTGTGACACATCCAGGCTCCTCCAGATTAAAATACCTGAGTGAATGCTGGAAACATCTCACGGTTGTGTTTGAGAATTCCCTCGCAACTTCCAAGGTTGTTCTCTGATACCATGAAGGTAGGTGATATTATTTCATTTCCCCCATTTTCCAAGAAAGGGATCTGAAAAGCCACACAGCAGCATCAGGGATTAAACTTTTCTTTGTCTAAGGCCAAATCCCATTTTGTTTCCAGCCCTCACTGAGCAGAGTTGGTCCAAAGGGTGGAAAAGATATTCGACAGCATTCCAGCCCCGTCAGCATCCTCACTGAGTACCTTTGTTATTTGCTGTAAACAGTTGTTAATTTCCAGAACCGCAGACACACCCCTTTAAAAATGTTAATGACTAAAATGCCTCCTAAAACCAATGTAAATGAACACTGTATTTAAGTCCCATTGGAATTCTGTCTCTGGAGTCCCTCCACAAGCAAATAATTGAGAGCTGACAGTATGAAATCTGACCCTGTCATTTTGTGAAACTTCTTAATTACGGAGAAGATGATGGTGGATGATACGCTTCAAGCTATTGATACTTTTCAAAACTGTTTTGCTAAGGGAGAAACAGGCTTGTTTAAAAAACAATTTTTCCAGGCCCCCAAGTTCTGTTGAAAGTCTTGCAGAGGATACATATATGGGCAGCTCTGTTGTTAGTGCTTATGCTGTCTAAAAGTTGCAGACACCATAGCTTCTGGTGAAGTGCCCTGCTGGAACAGCAGGCTTTAGAAAACAACAACAAAAATCCTATGGGGATGCAAGAGGCTCATGTGTTTTCAGGTTGTGGCCCTTCTACACTCCAGGCAGCCCACCCCCCAGGCCTGTGTCCGCAGCTGATTTAGAATCTTCCACCCACACAAGCCTTGGCATTCACCGGCATCCTGCAAGGAGGCTAAGGTGTAAACCTGGAGGAAGCTTTTAAGGACAAGAGAGAGTTGGGAATGGGGGGGGAAGAAGGGAGGGAGTTAAAGAGAGGTAAAGCAATTAGACGACCACACGCTTGGCCCAAGTGGATGAGCACGTGTTGGGGAGGCCCGGCTGACTGAAGGACTGCTGAATGTAGTTTTGATGGCCAAGACGGTGCCTTTGGTTCTGCGGCACAGCTTCCAGTTGGGAGAGTTCATTGCCCAACATGCTGTGACCAGGATGGCCTGCGAGTGAACACCCCTCCCCTTCGTCAAGATTATTTTATATGCTTGCACAGGTAGATGTCAGTGTTCCCAGCTGTAAAGCGTGGGATGCGCAGTGTATCCCCTGGAGGGTAAATAATAACAGCTGCAATCTTCTGCCAGGAAAGAAGTTGCTGCCCCAGCTTGGAGATTCAGTGGATGATGAGGGCAAAAGGCTTTCTCGAATAGAAAATGAGATACCCCACGGGCCAACCTTCGAAAACCGCAAGGTGCCAAGCAGATGTGAACCATCATGGTTTTAAAAATGATCAATACGGCAGGGCTGGACAGGTGGGCTTTCTTGAAGGGAATAAGCCTCAGAACTGATGGCTGAGTGCCTGAAGGGAGTTGCAAGATTCTCCCTGCACTTCTAAAGGCTAAATAACTCAAAATTCTCCCTTTGGGAAGTGTTTCTGATGCAGTATTGAGGCCATGGGCTCTCGAGGCTGGCTTGAATTGGAAATGTGGCTCTGACATTTATCTGGGTGACCTAGAGCGATTTTCTCTTCTGGAAAATGGGGATAATACCCTCTGCCTAACTGGACGGTGGTTGTGAGAGTTTAGGAGTGATGTACGTAAAATGCTTTACATTTTAGCATATAATAGGGCTTCAACAAATGGTCAGCTGGTAGATGTTCAAGAAAAAATCTGATTTAGCACTGAGGCAGGTAGAAGTGGAGGAGAAACAATACTGACATGCCTAATATAAGACACATAGGAAAAATAAGCATGGGGACATTTATTACATACAAGACCAAAGACTCCAGAGGCATTCACGGGGTCAGAAGCACCCAGTGCTTTCTTCAGGTAACTGGGCTCTTGGGGAATCTAGGAGGTAGTGATGTTAAGCACCGAAGTCCAAGTCTGTCAATGCAGGAAAACTAGATAAGGTCTCCTAGAGATGTGTCAGAGAAAATAAATGTTAGCTGTAGAGCCTTAAGCAAAACTGGAGTTAGGTGAGAGTGGATGAAAATTCTGGAACCTACTACCTCTTATCGATTTGTAAATGCTGATTCACATGGGTTCCACAGTCAATCATCCCTTCACACTGTACACTGATAACAGAAAAACTGTCCACAGCCCACCGAGAAACCACACTAAATCCAAAAAGAGGCATTTGAAACCTCTGGCTTACAAAACAAGTTTGAATCCAAATCTTTAAACCTTTAAACTAACTATTTTCTATCATTCAGCATTTTCTGTATTTTCTAGGTTCAACCAGAACACCATTTACCTTGAACATTAAAACAAGACAAATATTTCTTAAGGGTATGTAATTACAGGTACTGTGAAGGATGCAGAGAAATTTACCATGCTTCCAGACTTGAGAATTGGAATGAACTGACTCAGTAACATGGGACCAGAGATGAGAATCACACCTAGACTTCTGTTCTTTATCTTTTAAGCTACTCATTAACATTCTTCACATTCCCCAACCACCAGGTTATGATACCTGAGTCAAGACTGATTACTGTCTTCAAGCATGTTTAGTATCGACTGGATCTATTAAATGTAAAAAAAAGATAGCTAGCAGTGAGTGCGCCCCCCGTGTGTGCAGGGCGTCCACATTACAGTTCTGACGATTATCATCCTCGTTTTACAGATGAGGAAATTGAAGCCCAGAGATTAAGGAACTAGTCAGTGCAAGGTCACAGCCTAGTGAGTGTCATGATATGAAATAATGTGTATGTGCAGAGAGGAATCAGTGTCTTTGGATGTCAGGAAAAGAAACAAGATCAATCACACTGGGAAGGTGGATTGAAATGTACATTTTATCCTCTTCAGTTAACAGCGTGGCATGGATAAACTATGCTTTTGTCATTTGAAAATAGTGCACTAGAGGGCACCAAATACGCAAGCTGTGACTTTAAAACTGTTCTGATAATGCAGTTCCCACAGTGCTACAAGATACCTAATCAGTAACGGATTCAAGCCAAAAGGCCATCCCAGAAAGAGTACGATGCAGTTTATGACAATTAAGCAGCTGTATTTTTAGCCCCTCAGTTAAAAACAAAAACAAAACCCTCATGCTTTATACTGAGCAATTTGTAATTTGTCTCTACTGATTTCTATTCAAAGTGCCTTTCAGCCAGGTTTTCAAATTTCTCTTTGCCCTGCCTGTTGAAGGGCAGAGCGTGAAGGGAAAGGGAAGAGTAACCTGGAAAGGGTAGGGTAACCTGGATGAAAATAAATTTAAAAAAAATTACACACTGAGATATATTTTACCTTTTAAAATTTATTTAGCGAAGTAAAATGTACATATATTTTTTAAAAAGAAAAGAAAAACCCCACACTTATATCCAAGAGCTTAAAATGAAAAGGAACATGACCCCATCCTCAGCCTCAAGAGGCAGTATCTTTTAGAGGTGACTCCAGATTCTGAAATAATGTTTATGTTTCTATTTCTTGATTTATCAAACTGACATTATTTGTTTACCTCTATGGAAACTGAGGAGTTAGCTAACAGAATATTCATCTAAGTCACATAGACAGTTTACAAAATAACTTTTATTTTCCACTATTATAACTGCAGAACATTAAAAAAATAAACATAAAGAGGAAAATCACCATTTTGATGCATATTCTTATAATTTTTTTTACAAAAATGAGATTACCTTGTACATGTGATTTCATCAAACTATACAAGATGCTCACCTTTCCATGCCATTCAACATTAAAAATGTCATTTCATTTTTGGTTTTTTATTGTAGTATAACTTAAGTTAAAAAAAGTTCTTAAGTATAAGGAACCTCCACCTCTTTAACCGGTGTAAGGATCAGATAATTTCACTCCACAGTGGGAACTGTGGTGTTTGAAGGTATCATCCAGTCTCAAGTTATGCGGCAGTGAGAATAGTTAGGGTCTGAAGGGGCAAGGACTTAAAAGAGTCCTGCTGGGAATGCAGAAATCAATCGAAACAAGTTAACAACTCAGCCCGGAAGAGTAAAGTTCTAATTATTCTTCAACATGTCAAGACTCAGTGAGACTCAGTGGATCATGAATGAGTTGGTCACAAGTTTGGAGTTTCTCCATTTTTTGGTGAAAAATAATAAACCTTTTGTACGTTTAATTCTCTATCATTCCCTTATAAGTTATCACAAGAAGCACAACTACTAGAGTCATTAGCGCAACTAAAAAAAAAAAAAAAAAACTAGCATCTTTCTCTTGATCTTTTTTTCAAAACTCAACCCCCGCTCCCCAGCCTCCACCCCGCGGCCTCCAATCTGCACCTGGTTGCAAATGGTAGGGGGCCAGGGTTCGGAAGCATTATGGCCTGCTGTCAGGCAGCAGCCTAAAATGTACCTGGGAAGAGGCCTGTCTAGCTCTTCATTCATCTCCATTTTCCCTGTGAAATAAAAAAAAGGTTAATGCTACAGTCATACCAAACGTAGGCTTGTCCACCATCTCTACAGAATACTCATCCAGTACAAAGCTCTGCAATAGGGGCAAGTCACGTTGAACACGAGCAGAAACTTCCTTAGGAACCAGGAGCTTTAAAGGATGCCTGGGAGCTGGTAAACATACTGAGAAACCATTAGACAAACACCAGTTCTTTCAGGTGGGAGGCCATTCCTATGGGGACGGAGAGAATCTTTGCCTAACAAAACCAACATAATATTGAGCAAATAGGTGCTCGAAAAATCCTTTTAACTTTTCCTTGTTTTTACTTAACCTTTATGCTAGATACCGCTCTATGCCAGGTATTGTTCTAAGGGCTCTGTATGGTTTACCTCGTTTGATCCATCTATAAGAGACTCGGCGAAATTAAGTAACCTTTTAAATTTGGACACAGCTGCTAATAGGTGATAGGGGACTCAGAATTCAAAAGCAGGTCCTTCCCATAGCAGGGACATTATTGCTCTGGCCTCCCCTAGTAGAGCATCGAGAATAACGAGCAGTCATTTCCGCTCTGCACACAGAACGAGGGACATACCGACAGCTACCAGCATTTCCGAAGATGGCGGTTGCGCCGGGTTCAGTTTGAGCAGTGTGCGCCACGAAGTGGAAGCGGCATTATACGGGTTTTGGAAAGAACGAGGAGAGGGTGGCTTTACAGGGTGTTAAGCAGTATAATGAATTCCGGAGAAGCTAAAGCTCAGGCCTGGCGGCCCCAGGAAGCAGCAGGCGGAAGTGGGCTCGGCCGCGGTGGAAGTGCGTTTCTGGGGCTCCTCCGCGACGAGGCGGGCGGGGCGGCTGCTCCAGCGGCGCAGCGGCTGCGCGGGACGGCCCTCCCCGCCTCCGACCCTGCAGTACTGCTGGCCGCTGGCCGCCGGCCGCCAGGAAGGCTCTGGGGAGGGGAGAGCGGCTTTCTGGCGCCGACCCCTCCCCCGGCCGCGAGGGCGGTGCCCCTGCGACGCAGGAAGCGGGCCGGTTACGCTCTTGACGGCGCTGGCTAGCCGGCCACCCTGACGAAAACTCCAGGTCCCGACTCGTTTGGGCCGACGGCCAGGCCTCGAGCCTAAATCTGCTGCGCAGACACCCACAGCTCGCTCTTCCAGACGGGGAAGCCAATGTTTGGACGGCTTGGTAGAGGTCATGAGGGCAAATACCGCCCCACCAAAAGCGAGCGAGATCTCGATGAAGAGAAAGGGGGTCTTGGGTGTGTCCATAGTTATGATTAAGCCCGTTTATCATGTATACAGTGAAAGGGGCTACTTCCACAAAAGGCCAAAACTGGGTGACAGAACCTCTCCCTCCTCTGGACTGGTCAGACTGAAGAGGGCTAACTTCTTTCTCTTTCCGTTTAGAACTAAAGAAAAATTCCCCACTGTGGCTTCTCAACTCAGCCACTTTGAAGCGAGCTAGTTTCTCCGAAGTCAGTTGAGAGAAGGGGTTCCAGAACAGGTGCTGGGGTAACAGCAGTTACAGGCCTCATTACGTAGCCTTCTCTCAGAACTGTGACCCCTGTCAAAGGATTTCTAACCACGAGTCCGCAGACAGAATTCAGAGTTGTGTGTGCACTACGTAAAGCACATTTACAGCATGCTGAGAAGGGATCATAGGCTTTATGGGGCTGTCAAAAGGTCACGGCACAAAATTAATCTCTATGTCTTTGGGATCGAGGTAAGTATTTCTGGAGAAAACTCAGGTTAAGGCCATTTAAGCTTACTTTCTGGGAGCTTGAAACAAAAGAATCTTACCATAATTTGGTTCCATGAAACCATCAGAAAAGGAAGGATTCTGAGGATTTTTTTTTTTTTTTGAGGAAAAAAACAATAGCTTTATCTTTGCCAGGGAAACGGGAAAAACAGCATGACAGCACCTCAAGAACTGTGACCCTCTTCCCTGGGGAATCAGGGGAAGTCTTATAGGTGGGGCTCTTAGTCCGGGGTAGGTGATAAGGTGAATTGCTATTTTAATCCATACTTTGGAGGTGTTTTGAAGCTGTATTCCTTAAGTACAAAGAACCTGCTTTTTGCACCTGGATTCCCCTCGACTATTTTCCAGTTAATGGTTGGGTTCACAGATTACTAATGTAACTGTTAAAAAAAATTTTTAAAGCCTACCAAAGAGGGTCACTTGGGTAGCAGTATCAGATTGTTCATGTTGAACCCATCATGCAAATAACTTCCTTTTTGATACAAATTTTCTTGAACATTGTTAATCCCATTGTTATTTTAACTCCTCTGGCCAGGTGAACCCGCCCCGGACACACACATACCCCCCCCCCACACCCACACCCCCAATCTTGGAAAGTGTTATCATGATTCCCTGACTTCTACAGTTAAGTATCTTTTTTACATCAAGTTACCTTTAATCATGTAGTTTTCCTGTGCAACAAGAATAGTGAGGAGAGGGGACTATCAAATCTCAGATGTGATGCAGTTCATCTGTGTGCAGCTCAAAATAGCAGTTTTCTCTCCCTTCTTTCCCTGTAGGATTGCACTGTAAATTCATAGCTCCCTTAAAAAACCATGGTTGCTCAAATACACTCCTATTTACATCTGTTCATGCTAGATAGCCTATTAATATTTGCATTCCTCAAGTCTTGTTAAAATATTGATCTGGGTTTCATAAAAAACATCCCATAAATGTGGAGCCTGATATTATGGCATTTCTCTTAACTATTTTAAGAGACAAGCTCTTCATTGCAGTTTCAGTTTCTCAAAAAAGGAGAACATTTCTTTTGATTATAGTTACCTTTTCAAAATAGAGGACTGATTTGATTTTAGCTTGGTAGGTTTGTCAAAAACAGGCACTCTCAACAGGCCCCACAGGTAATTCTGCTACAGGCTGACCCAGAATCCCCATTTTTAAGAACCACTGGCCTTTTAAAGGCAAATACATCATGGTTGCTTGGAATCATTTCTCTGGTTAGTCCCGAGTTATCCTGATTTTATATAATCAGACAGAAAACCTATGGAGGCGTGACAGCCAACAAACTGAGTAATTTATGCAAAAGTGCAAATCTGCTTTGGAATTTCTTGAAGTTCTATCCTATTATAGGGAAGGAACACAGCCAAATAAAATATGCTGGATAGAAATGAGGCCTTTTTATAGAACAACCTGTTTTTACAAATGCTTTATGTTATTTATTCAAGATGTTCAGGCTCAGAGATAATGTATTCCAAGTTTATTAAACCAGATTAAGTTCTCCTCCACCTATATATGATTAAAATTTACAATTCTTTATTACTCTAATAATGCTGACTAAGGGCCTGGGTTGAGGGAAAGCACTGGAGCAAGTCAAGCCTTTGCAGGCCCAGGACCTAAATCAAGATGTGGAAAAAAAAAGACCCTGTACTGCAGTCACACCTTGCCAAATACCTGGTAAAATTAGTGGGCTAAGTCCAGTGAGACACTCCTCAAAGATGTTAGATGCTCTGTTTCTTTTATAGCTGTGTCCCTCTGTGACAAGCAGCTACAAGGTTCTTGGTAGTATCAGTCCTCTACCCAGTGGGACCTTGCCACAAGGTAGAAGAACATACAATCTGATTATATTTGCTACTTCCTAAGCAAGTATAAGAATATACCTGCTAACTTTGTATATTGCCCACAACTGCTAAATTGTTCTGCATAAGAAAGACGACTTAGAGGAGGACATTTTTAGAAAGACTGGGCAACTGGAAAGTGAGAAGCAAAAGCTTAGGAGAAACAATACTGTACACTTTAAGAGGACAGACCTCATGTATTTCTGTTACCACAATTAAAAAAAAATCTTAGGAAATAACTGCATGGGATTTTTGTGAGCAAAATAGGATAATTTTTGCAATTTAAACTCCCTACTCAGTCTCCCCTGTGAAGTTGTCAGTAAATTATTACTTTTAATCCCTCATCTCTTTTTGGTGAATGTGATTAAGTACACAGCCCTGTTTTAAATTTTAGGATGAGTCAAAGGCTGCCCAAGGAGGGCAACCTCACATGGTATGTACATGAACTGGTGACCAATTTTTAAGTCCAATATAGCTTTATAAAATGCCCACACCTCACTGAAGAGTCCATCATTTTAAAAGAATAGCTTGACAATGCTTATTATGTCCGATTAACTTTATTAGTCTACCAAGTAATAAAAAGTAATCAGAGTAATTTCTGATTCCAGTGCATTAAAACTTTTACTTAGTAGTACCATATTTGAAGGTTAAATTTTCCTAGTGAGGAGGCAAGTAATCCTTTTCCGTTTATTAATGTCACATCCATTATTCTGTTTGAATAATGAGCATGATTCAGGCCTTGACTCACCATTTCCTTAACCTATCCGTTTCTGTTTAAAGGTAGTGCCAACATGATACTTCAGAGAATGCTGCTGCACAACCTATTACCTAGCAGTCAGCGGGTAAGAGATTAAGCAAAACCCTCACCGCCACAACAGAAACATGCACTGAATCAAACATGACATATATTTGCGCTAGTTGCTGTGATACGTCGTCTTACATTTTTTTCCTATAAGTCACTAAGACATGGGGTATAAAGCCTTATACTAAATAAATATATCAGAAACATTTTTACATGTTATAAGTTCATTTTAATGATAGCATATTATTCCATCTACTGGCTCTGACCCAGGATATATAATTATTTGCCTATTCATTAGCTAGTTCTTGATATTTGTATTTTGACCTCCTGCCTGAACTGGCTTCCATCTTTCCTATGTCCCAATTGATCCCTTGATGACGAGCAGGCTCTCTGGCTTAGCAGTTACCAGTTGATCATTACTTGTTTTTAGAAGCCTTAAGTTCACAATATTTCCTTTAATTGCTCTAGTTCAGGAATCCACACATTTTTTTCTGTATAGGGGGCCACACAGGAAACATTTTAGGCTTTTCAAACCACAAACAGTCTCAGTCACATAGGGTCACCTCCCCCCCTCCACAATAACCCTTTAAAAATGTGAACAACCTTCTGAACTGCCCAGCTATAAAAACACAGGCAGTGCTTGCTATAGCTTGCCCATTCCTGCTCTAGTCCTTAATGGGAAGAAGGGTAAAGCTCAACTTAATGCATACGTGTATGATCACAGTAACTTAAAAGTGCTGGCTGGATAATTAATTCAACATGGTCTTCACCATAATGCTTTTTGGCATCTGAAAATATCACTGAGTGCTTGTTTGGTCAATTAATACAGCAAGTATAAAAATATACTCACACTTTACCTTGGGTGAAAAGAAACTCAATGATTATAAAGTAAGAAATAACTCAAACTGAGATTTAAGTTTATTACAACACGCGTACAATTACATACTTATGTGTATAATTTTAGTTTTACATGCAACATCTTTTATCTCGGACAGCTCCTAAAACTTGCTGTAATTCTACTAAGTAATATGATGGAAGTTGTTATTTTATGAAAATATTCCCAAAGATTTAAAAATAACATTTGAAAAAAACATTATGGTTAAATTTCTCAAATAGCTTCCTGTTTACTTGGTTAGTCTACTTATGGAGTGAGCTACATGTCCAAATAACTTATGCTGTTTGCCACTTACCTACCCAGTTCCTCATTTTACTGTTTTGTGGGACAAAACCAATTTGGAATAATGCATCCAGTTCTAGGGATCCAGAGGAAAACAGAGCTGACCAAAGATGCAATAAACTGCCCCAATATCACTGTGGCTATTTAAACAGAGGTCAGTTACTTGTTGGGCAAACTAATGCATGCATAAAGAGGGAGGGAGAGATAATTAACACTGGATACCTGAGAGGTTTTTAGGCTAATCCTAAATTCTGTCAATCTCTGCAAATATTTTTTAAGCTTATGCTGAATGGAGCAAGATTGACCACTGTGAAAGCCCACAGATATACCTACTCTCGTAAGATATACAATGTTTGAGAGGAATTTTAATGGAGTGTTCTTGTTCATGTATTTGGCACCTGTGTAAACTAAGCCAGGTTCTTCTCTTAAGACCCATAACTCCATCCTTATCTCTGCCCTTGGGTGCTCATATGGCACTTTATTTTTAACTGCAGCGACTCACAAATTATTCCTCACTGCCTCTTTGAACAGAAAGAATGATTAACTCAGTGGAATGTTGGAAGGACTAAATTCCACACATTTGTCCCTTCGGACGTGAATTTATTAGGCAGGAGGTGTTAAAATACAGCCATCTTAAAAAGATTTCTTCCAGTCTCACCCCACAATTCTTTATCTTATCCAATACATTCTTAAATGCAATCATGTTGCCTTTTGCCTTTCAGGTTAAAGAATCCCATAGCTAATGACATGACTACTTTAGTTTCCAATCTGAGGCAAATCTATGCTTTAATTTGAAGGAAAAAAAAAGTAAAGAAACTCAATTAAGTGAGATGTACACACTACTATATATAAAATAAATAAGGACCTACTGTATAGCACAGGGAACTCTACTCAGTACTCTGTAATGGCCTATATGGGGAAAGAATCTAATAAAGAGTGGATGTATATGTACAACTGATTCACTTTGCTGTACAGCAGAAACTAAGACAACACTGTAAATCAACTATACTCCAATAAAAATTAATTAAAAAACAAAAACAAATCAATGAAGTGAGGGTAAGATAAGGAGTAACTATGACTCTTTAAGATAGCCAAATGCCTCATCATCTAAATAGTGATGCCTATGAATACAACCCCCACTGCCCCTACCTAGTATCCATGGAAACACTGCCAAGGCAATTAGCTTGGCAGAATCAGCAGGCAAAGACCTGGATGAGCTTAATTTTGATCTAGGGTAAGTTAAATTTTACATTTTCTATTCCTGGTTAACCTTCTGGATAATATGGTGACATAGTGGGAGTTCCTTAAGACTAAAACATATATTGTCAGTCTTCTCAGAAACAACCTCCCTCTCCCCTCACACACACACAATGTGTACTACCAGCTTGATTAAAGAATGAATTATTGGTATACTATTTATATTTTCATATGTATCTCCATATGCTGTATTATGGATTTGCTGAAGTAATTTCTAGTTCTTTATATTTGGCATTTATAAATAATTTCAAAGTCAAAAGAATGTTTATCAATCTAACATATAACATCAAAAAACCTGACTTTGGGGCTTCCCTGGTGGCGCAGTGGTTGAGAGTCCGCCTGCCGATGCAGGGGACGCAGGTTCGTGCCCCGGTCCGGGAAGATCCCACATGCCGCAGAGCGGCTAGGCCCGTGGGCCATGGCCGCTGAGCCTGCGCTCCGCAACAGGAGAGGCCACGACAGTGAGAGGCCCGCATACTGCAAAAAAAAAAAAAAAAACACCTGACTTTGTTAATAAGCACATCGGTATCGCAGTAACCAAGGGACAGGTGTGTTAAAACTGATAAATCAGATGATTTTTTTTTTTATGAAGACACATGATTAACTCTTTGGCCAGTAGTTTCCTCCAAGAAGGTTAATTACATAGGAAGTCTAATTACATACATAAAGTTGCCTGGTGAACATGATACCAAAATGTGAATTATATGAGACTATTTACTGGCATTGGGACTGGATTTTTTATGTTGAAGTGGGTCCTTGAAGTCCTAGCTCATGACATCTAAATTCCTTAAGATCTACTACTCTTAAGTTACTAATATTAAATGAAAGGACGCTTCCTTCTACTCTGAGTTGCACTTCTGGAATTTAAAGTTACTGGTTTCACCTTTAAGGGAAAACAGTAACCTTGGTTAAAAGATCACACTCTCTAAACATCTTAGAATAATTAGTTGTAAAAGCAGCTGAAATGTCACTATGTTTAAAGTAACAGTTGATAGCTCCTCCCCGTTTAAAATGCTCCTATATATTAAGAGGGGAGGAGTATAGAAATAAGGCTTCTTTTTCACAAAAATCCCTAAACACTCATTAAAAAGACAGACTGATTCCCAGGGTAACAAGACTTGACCCTTATCTGCTACAGAAAAAAAAGGGTCAGTCCATCAGAACATTCTTAATTTCTTAGAAAACAATTTACGTTGCTGTTCTGATGAAATCTCCGAGAAGAAATGAAGGAAATGGTTCATGCCAATAGTACATCCAAGCTTCACAGGTTGGAGATGTCTACTAGTACAGCAACACTCAAAAAAAGAAATGGATAAAACAAAACTGTCTTGGCACTGTAACTTTAAATAAACATTTTAGTGAAATGCTTCATTCCATGTATCTAAATGTTTATCAAAGTAGTAATTTGCATGAAAAGTACCTGAGGATGAGGTCTGTGAAAAATGCAGATTCCTGGGCCACACTAAGGAGTTCAGCATATGGTTCTTAATGAATTGGTACATTCTTAAGAAAATTATGAATGATACATAACATCTTGTTTGGGGGAACTCTGGGTGGAGCCCTGGAATGTATAGTTAACAAGCTTCCCAGATAATTATGGTAGTCAAACTGGCTTGGAAACTACCGACCTGCAGCAGTTCAACATGCCTGTAGTAGGGAAACTTATTTTTTAAAGTGGATTTTTTTTTTTTTTAAAAGGCTTCGTAGCCACGACTATAACCCTGGGCGTTAAGAATTTGCCTTCAATGAAAAATCAACTAAGTTGTTAGAAATGCAAGACCAACTAAGTTCTGCCTTGAGAATTAAATGTGTGATGATATTTCTACCAGTTCTTTTATGTAGTACTTTCAACTAACACTTTGGAAAAGAAATTTGTTGGTTTCTGTGTAACAGAACATATCAACTTATTTTATGTTACAAATCTTAGGAGTGATTTTCAACTTAGTGCCAAAACTGCCTGAAGAATATAAAATTGCTTGTGTTGTGGAAGGGATTGGTTAGTACATTAATGGATTCAGCTTTATAAAAATGGGTATCAACATCATCTGTTGATTGTAAACTGTTAAGAATTTAGACTAAGTATCTTTCTGTGCAGAGATAAACATGTGTTTTTACCATGCCATTTTGGGATGTTAGTCCCTAGGCTTGTTGCTGCATATTGGTAAGCATCTATAATCTCCATCCATATTTGTGGGACCATAGCTCTTCCTTTGAATGAGCTACCAGACTCTAGCCCTGAACTTCCATCCTGTTAATAGGGTTGCTGAACTGTTTAGAAAAGTTAGCAGTGGGAAGGTTCTCTTCTCTAATGTAATGAAGTTAAAGTACCTGTACAGTTATTTTTGTATTATTATTATCATGCTTTGGAAAGGCAGATTAAACCTGAAAATTAAGAATTTATAACCAAACACCGGAGGATGGATAGGAATTTTCAATTTTCTCAACACAATTTAACAGTTTTTTTTTTGAGAGGAGGCTTTTATCTGCAATGGACAGAGAAAAGTACTAGGATATGCTTCACTTGGGATTGTTAGTCTTTCAAAGACTAATTGATGTTCAATTATTTTTTTTTCCCCCTCTAGAATAGAGTGGCTTTGCTCTTGGTCACAAATCATTACCGATTTTAGGTTTCCTAACTTTTAACTACACGAATACATCTCTAACCCTCTTTCCTTCTCTTCACAATCAAAGTTCAAGAGCTTTTACTATTTTGCAGACTCATACCCCAAAATGAGAAGAGACCTAATTAATTAAAACATTTATTTGAGCACTTACTATATGTCCTGGGAATTAATGCAAGCTGTATGCATTTATCTGAGAGATAATGCGAGGTAAACACTGCCCTTCAGGGGCTCACATTCTAAAAGGGTGAGGAGATTCTAAATAATTTGGGTTGGCCCAAAAGTTCATTCAGGTTTTTCATAAGACGTTATGGAAAAACCCAAACAAACTTTTTGGCCAACCCAATACAACAAACTGCCATAACAGAACTAAGTAAAAGGTACACGGAATTATAAATAACAGTAGACTTCTTGGAAGAGCACCTGAGAAAGCTTCAAAGAGGAAAAACATTTGAATTGAAGGATGCATTCACAAGGGGGAGAGTAGGGGGATTCCATGAAAAGGTAATAACAAAAAGAAAGGAGGTCTGAGAGAGCAAGGTAAGTTTAGGGAACTGAAAGCAGTAATGTGGGTCGAAGCAAAAGGAGTAGCAACTGGATCTCTGACTGGAAAAAAAGGCAGGAGACAACAAATCAGAGGGCCTTCCTTTATGCCACTCTAAGGAGCATGGACTCCATTAAAAGCATTTCAAGTAAGATCAGACTCACATTTTAGTAAAATCACTTTGAAGGATGACAGATGGATTAGAAAGGGCAAGATTAAAGCAGAGTAAGCTACATCACCACATAGTTATATATAAAGACTCATTTATTTGGCAAATATTCAGGGCGACTGACTACTCTATGCCAGGCCTGAACTAAAGCAGTGGCAATGGTCATGAAGACAAGGGGGGTCAGACCAAGAAATAAAAACTCAGAATGGACATTACTTAGGGACATAACAGACACAAAGTATTAAAGAATTGAGGATGGTTCCTGGGTTCTGACTAGTTGTAGACCATACTGTTTGCATCCCATTATAAAAAATAATATCCAAGCAGCCTTATCATTACAAACTAGAACAACTTTGAAAAAAATGCTTTCTGGTAATACTTGTCTGTTGTAGAAAATCCATCTGTATGCCTACAACCCAGAGAGAACCAGTGAAACCACTGTAGTTTACTTCCTTTACCCCCATTTCTATCAAAGCAAACACAATATACAAAAGCCCTACAAATTGTAATCTGTTTTTCATATTTTTGTTACCATTTCTTTGTAGTATGTGATGCCCTGAAGTGATTCTTTAAAAATAATTTTAATGGCTGTATTCATGGACATATCCTCATTTAAACAGATTCTGTTGAAAATTTATAAGCCTTTTACATTCGTCTAAGACTGACTTGTCACAATTAAAATGAGAGCTGAGATACATGAATGATTCACAAATAACAATCTAAAATGAATTTTGGATAATTTTTCATTATTCCACAGGAAAATAACAATGTAGGTTTTTCAAAATAATTTAATTTTTTTAATTAAGAGACTATGTCCTTATTTGCTGTTAACACCCGTTTTTTTAAAACCAAGGATATGGTGTTGCTGTTTAGAGAACTAAAAATAGTAACTATATTGGTTTCCATATTTATCATTTGATTCATTCAAGAAATCCCAAAGTCTAGGAACCAAGGTATTTTGATTAGGTCTAAAATCCTGCCAACTATTTCTTTTTAGTTTGCCTCTCCTACATACCGGATTGCTACATTCTACCAAAAAAACCCTACAGAATAATTATTTAGCTTTGTTGACTCATATCTCAGATATCTATGGACACACATTGTTCGATTTGTCCTAAATCCTTGAAGTCAAAACAATGGCTCTGTATTCCAGGGATATATAAAGTGTGAGCCCTTCCCACCTTAACCATTCTATATTATAAAGGCTCATATGAGACACAAGACCTAGATTATGAAGCAGAAGTCCTTGATTTAGAAGGAACAAATCTAACGCGCTTGTTGGGAAGCTATCTAGTTGCTGACTGCTACTAATACATCAG